GTGGCATTTTTGTAAATGGACAATTCATAGTGGTATTTTTGCAAATGTACACACCAAAAATGACATTTTTGAAATTATCTCTAAGATTTATTAGTATTTTCAGAATGAAAGGGTAATTATATTTTCTTTTAACTTTATAATTTTATATGTACGTAGGAACTAGGAAAGAGTAGTGTTGCTTTATGTGATGGTTCAACTAATGTATGGTATGGTACTACGACTAGCTCCTAAAAGAAAGATTACTTCCAATTTAAAGCTCTTGTTTTTTTTTTGTATTACAAAATACTCTAAAACGGTTAAACACACCAACGTTGATTGCTCTAACTTCATCTACTTATAACCAAATTTCATGATCATGATAATTTTTCTACAGCATTTTTTGAAGCAAAATTTTCCGAAATGTAGTATTACTTGCTCATAATGTCTTAAATTTTCGTTATAATTAGCGAATATGAAATCACTAGTGCTTGTAAAGTCTTCGTTCTTCCTCGACGAGATACAAAATAAAAATATTGAAAAAGAAATCCTCTTGGAAACCACTAATTTCAATTGCTTTGTCCAAAGCATTTTTATTACCATATATCAAGAAAATTATTTAAAAACATCAAATTTTCCTAAGTTCAATACATACTGATACCCAAAAATATACCGCATTTTTCAATTGATTATGTGATATATCTCAATAAATAAAAAAATGCCTTAAGATCTCTAGGTCCAAATTTCATATTTAAAATTTTAAAATACTATCGACATTTGATTTACAGAAGAACATTGTATCATCTACAAATAAAATATGGTTTTCTTTACTCAAACTTTGAGTAAAAACTAGAATTTTTGACTTGTTGTAAGAGTTCCGAAAACACTTCACTACAAAATATGAATTAATTTTAGTAGCTTACAGTTTGATATTAATTATGTTTAATAAAATTATTAAATACTAATTTCAAATTTCATGAAAACTCACCTTTATTGCCTTTATAGTCCGCAAGTTTTTTCATCAAATTTTGTTATAATCTTATGTGTT